CACGACGAACGCTCCCAGCCAGGACTTTTTCTTCCGCGCCTGAAAACATATACGGGTGGTTGCTGATCTTCTTCAGTTCCATCATGACATTCAGCAGAGAGTTCTTGTGGCCATTGGTTGCATCACATAAGGCTGAGTAGTTCTTGGTCAAGATGTTCTTGTAATAATCAAGCTGAACATCTGAGAGTTCAACTCGAATAATCTTCTCCGTCTTGGGAGGGAGATCAGACTCTACCGTCTCCTTGGTTCGTCTGAGGATGTAGGGTGCAATGGAGGTATGAAGCTCCTGCAGCTTCTCCTGAGCATCTGCAGCTGACAGGGAGTCGAGATCTTCAGTAATGTTTACTACTCCAGGGTTCAAAAAGTCTAAAAGTGCAGAAAGCTCCGCCAAGTTATTCTGGATTGGGGTTCCGGTGATCAAGACCTTGCAGGGGAAATTGAATCCGTTCAGGCGAGCATAGAGCTGGGACTCCTTGTTCTTTAAACGATGTGCCTCGTCGACAGCGAGGGTCTGCCACTTGATAGACTGCAGAAACTGCCAGTCTTGCAGAATGAACTCATACGAGGTCACTAGCACATTGAACTTTGGCCTTTTGGGATTGCCATCAACGAGAAGTTCATGCTCACGAATGATGTTGCGGGCATCTTCTGGTCCAAGGTATACGACGTAGTTCAGGTCGGGCGACCAGGTATTGAAAGTATCGCACCATGCGGGAATGACACTCAAGGGGGCAACGACGAGTGATGGGCCCTCTTGTCCGCGCTGGTTCCGAAGCCAGCTCAAGAAGGAAACAGTTTGAACCGTTTTACCGAGACCCATTTCGTCTGCAAGGATGACATTGTTCTGTCGCGTCCAGTTCAGACAAAGAAAATTCAGGCCTTTTAGCTGGAAGGGCCGAAGCTCACCCCCCTGGATGTAGTCAGGCTGCTTATCCAATTTCACCATCCGCGACCGAGTGTCTTTGTTGCTCTCTTTGCGGTTGGACTGCCAAGATCGAGAAGACCTATCGAGAAACTGATCAATCTTATCCTGAAAGGCAGGGCTGATGTCAGAGGCCTTTTCCCAGGTGCACTCTTCGTAAGTCAGGCCCTTCCACTTGACGTAGTATTCCGTTTCATCCTCGCCATCGCGAACAGCAACAACGCGCTCCGCTTTGATAAAGTCCTCTAGGGCTTCTTCATCGCGTTCTCTATCAAGGAAAAATTGTTCTCTCATCTCGAGGGGTACATCATCTCCAAAACGCATATCAAGCTCCTGCTCGACGACTTTTCTGTAGTAATTTTCGACTTTGCGGAAGCCCCGCATGTCCCTCAATGAGTCCAAGCTGTTCCATGAATCATGGAGATGAGACCTTCCCTGCCATTTGATGAAGTACAGGAAATCATTACGATCCAAGTCGTAACTCAGTACTCTGTTGTCTTTCGTTTGGTGTTTAACTACCTTTTCGATGTACGGAGACTCGTCAACGTAATCAGCGGTGAAGTCTTCGGGTGCCATGTCATCTTCTTCTTCAACTTCGAAGTCGCTCTCTTCGTATGTTACTCGCTGGGCGGTACGCCTGTTAGACCACCGCTTTTCGACGAGGTTGGGTTGCGACTCTCTCTCGAGTCTAGCTTTCTTCTGAGATCTTTTCGCGCGTGCTCCGCCGTAGTTATCAGAGTCGGATTCCGATTCATCCGTTGACGGCTGATGAGAAGGGGTAGGTCGTATAGAAGCTGCGATGCAAGAGAGGTCAGTCACGGAACTTATTGTAGGAAGTGGGATCATTCCAGGCTAGAACATACAGGGACGAGAGTTGTCCACTCGACGGCGTTTTGATGCCCGGCGATTTGCAGGCACCACGTCCTCTTCCGAGTTATCAGACGGAACCTGAAATCGATTAGTTAGTGTAATGCCAGTATGGGACCGTGATTGGTACATACCGTCTTTCGAGGCTGTTGCGGCCGTTGCTAGAAACAAGGTCAGTTGCTGTGCTTGAAACAATTTGCGGGAATTTTGGGCAGCCTGCTTACGCTTCGACGAAGGCCATAGAGTTGAGGATTGGCTTGTATGAAATCATCTTCGCGTGCGGTGGCTCGTCGTTTTAGAGCCCTGCTGGAGTCGCTGGAGCTCGAGTGCTCCTCGACAGCATCCTCAGGATGGGATACAGGGCTGTCTTGCATATCGAAATCGGCATCGTCCGAAGCATTGTCGGGTGTCTGACCATCACTATCTTGTGAATACTGATCTCCGTTCATGATATGTGTGGCGTCGAGGGCATCATCAGATGAGGTTGGTGATGCGCCATGGCCATTCTCGGAAACAGATTCGGGACGCGTGTCTGAGGCGTCGCTCTCGCTCCGATCGCGTACGTTGCGGGTCTGGATGGCTATCGTATGTTCCGGCGACAGATGCCCATTTACAGGACCACCCTCAATAAGGGTGGACATCGTCGACTATGCTATGATACCACCTGCTGCGAGACGATTTGAGGTTAGCAACTCGGAGAAGCTTTGGACGGTGTGGAGAGTGGTATGAGTCCAAAGGGGTGGCATAGGCGACCGGAAAATATGTGGAATGGGGCAGGAATGAACTTGAAATGGCCAAGATGTTGCAAGAATCGCATATCGTCGGGATATGCGATGGCAAGGCTGATGTTTGATGATATTGCGATTGGGGCAGTGTCTGTGGGCAGGCTGGCTTTCCTGGGTCTTGGACGTGCCGCTATCGAAAAACGGCATCAAATTCCATCAAGAAAGAGCCATATCAACAGGTATAAGACCCGTAGAGGAGGGTATATTGGATTCGACAGCCAGCTCGAGGCTCGGTCGATCGCATACGGCAAGATACACGGGCAAGTCTGCCAGGATAGTATTGGCAGGAAGGGAATATCAACTTACAAGTCATTAATGAATGACCATCAGGTAGCAGAAGGCATTAAAGGAAACACTGGCGGATTCTCGAATGTGATTTGTAGGTTTGACCAAATGGGGGTTCGGGTGGGCGTGGATGAGGTGTGAGGGTGAAGGTGGATTGTCACAAAAATGCCACCAGACTGGTGGAGAGAGAAGAATTGGATGGTCCGGCAGCAGGCACCTCGCGCGGGTTGGGACTCGCCGCGCTAGTGCAGGGCAAATTTCATTGGCTACAAGCTCTCTTGGACCCATATGATTTGATCACGTGATTGTCGACGTGAAGAGCAGGGCAACTTTAGGCGGCAAAGTTCAGTTTCTTGAAGTTAAGCAACTAAGCGCCTAAATAGCCTGCGATATGTCTACAAAGCTTGGATCCTATTGAAAGTCTATTGAAAGGCAATGATGCTCCTGCATTTCCGCCCTCGCCCAGCAGGTGACGGGATGCAGCCACTGCCGATCATTCGTGTACCGTGAAGAATGGGGGTACACATGAGCTACCCTGTAGACAGCTGCTATTCAGAGCCACTTGCTGCCATTGTTTCTCGCGTGTTTATGAATGCTTGTATTGTAATTGTTGGCCATGCTTGCCATACTGTTTTGCGATTTCCTGTTCGTAGTAGTAATTGAGGAACGGGTACTGTTATTGAAAGATGTTCCCTACATTGTCAATATTTAATTTGGTGGAAGGTTTGCGATTCATCACTATCCACGAACTCTTCTCAGCCCTTCCGTAGCTTACGCAGATACTTATCCAACAGGGACAACCGCCGACACGTGCTCCCATTCTAAGCACACTGTAGATAAGTGCATAAGAGAGCTCACTATCTACGATGAATTATTTACCTGATCTGCAAACGGAAAAAGCAAGGCTTGGCCACTCCAGATAATGGCCCAAGCACACGGCAAAATCCACTGGCCCGAATGGGAACTACCTAAGGTAATGAGACCCTGTCAAGTGGGTGCCAGAAAAACAGGCTGCAAAGCTGTTCCCCAGAAAACTCAACTTTCTAATATGGGCCACAATATTTAGAGGCGATGCCTTTAAAGATCAATAACCTATTATTGTCTGGAACTAACAATATCTATTGTTTGTGCCAGGAACAAGAAGTATGGTAATCTAAGATCATCGGATGCCCTATTCGTCACGGTAGGCAGGCTTAGCGGTCAATGTTTTTTCAAACGCCCACTTGCTTGTGTCTATGACCTACCAACTACCTACCTAGCAATCAAACCATGTCCTAACGGAGCGTAGGTAAGTTGCTGGCCCAGACATCCTCTGACCGAATCTCAACAACGCATGTAATTTCTCTTTCGTTCTGCTATAGATGCGTACAGCTCTGCGATTCTGATAATTCTGCCGGGCTGGCTGCTGCACAGACGCAGGGTTAGCACATGGTTCTAGGGCCCATTCTTTGAGAGATGGCCACTTCCACTTTCTTCCCATCCAGGTAGGTGAGGCACTCCAGCGCTGTGCGACCATGCTAGTACGTACAATGACGATATGTACGAAACATGTACCCAATCCATCTTTGTACCTTGCAGATTCAACCATCATAGAGAGAGGCAGGCTCCCTTGCACCTCAGCATGATGGCAAGTCGCCGTAACCCCAAGACCATCCTGTGTATCTGCCACTGCAGCAACCCGTCCCAACGGCTACCTGCCTCATCTCATGTCAAGACAAGGCTAGCCACGTAGGTAACACGTCCGCGGATGCCAATGTCAATGGCTCCCGTCCATGCTTATGCCTCCACCTGCACCTGTAATTAGCACCTGCCCAAGTCTTAATGCCCTGCCCCGCCAAAAGTGGACGATTCAGAGCACAGGAAAAATTGATGACCGCACACTCGCTGCCTCCATCATTGGGCGCAACACCACAATCCTCATCTTTTTTCCCTGCCCACCATTGTTTCTCCCCCATCCAACTCGCACAATATCCGTCCGTCTGCGCCGTCGAACGCGCCTGCGTACGAATATCCCATTCTAACTGAACCAGGCTCTTGAGCTTGACAGAAGGGCGACGCTGGGATCGCGAGCTGAAATACCGCCGCTCGAATAACCCCTCTGACAATTTTTTGTGTCCACAGCACACGCCAACACCGCCGTCATGTCCGACAAGCTTACACGGTATGATGCTAGCCGCGATATGGAATTTTCGCCCAAGGTCCCCTGCTAATATGAGTTTTTTCTATAATGTAGTATCGCCATTGTCAACAGCGACAAGGTTAGTCAAGACCGCTCATATACCTGAATACCTCTTCTTTTTGGCCATCTTGAAAAAAATCTACCCCGCCTCACACAACTATAACCCCACCATATATCTGCATCGCCATCACCACGAATCAACAACAAAGTTCTGACAAACCTTCTTTGTGGATAGTGTCGCCCCCGAAAGTGTCGCCAGGAATGCAAGAAATCCTGCCCAGTCGTCCGAAGTGGCAAGCTCTGCATTGAAGTTGCGCCCGAATCCCGCCTCGCCTTCATCTCCGAGTCGCTCTGTATTGGTTGCGGTATCTGCCCCAAGAAGTGCCCATTCGATGCCATTACCATCATCAACCTTCCCACCAACCTCGAAAGCCAAGTTACCCACCGATATGGCCCCAACAGCTTCAAGCTGCACCGGCTTCCTATGCCCCGCCCCGGACAGGTTCTTGGTCTTGTCGGAACCAACGGTATCGGCAAGAGTACTGCCTTGAAGATTCTCAGTGGAAAGCTCAAGCCTAACCTGGGCCGTTTCGACAACCCCCCCGACTGGGAAGATGTTATCAAGTATTTCCGAGGTTCTGAACTGCAGAGTAAGTGGAGATCGGGCATCAGAAAAATAATTCAATTGTGCTGATCATTTGGTAAAAGACTACTTCACCAAGCTGTTGGAAGATGACCTCAAGGCAGTGGTCAAGCCCCAGTATGTCGACCAGATCCCAAAGGCTGTCCGTGGTCCCCAGAAGAGTGTTCGCCACCTCATCGAGAGCCGAGCTTCCCTCGGGAATACTCAGGAGGTTGCCGACGTTCTTGAGTTGAACCATATCATGGACCGTGACATCAACCTGCTCTCTGGTGGTGAGCTTCAGCGTTTCGCCATCGGTACTGTCTGCGTCCAGAATGCCGACGTCTACATGTTTGACGAGCCCTCTTCGTATCTCGATGTCAAGCAAAGATTGAGCGCAGCCCAAATCATCCGCTCATTGCTCCGCGACAACGATTACATCATCGTGGTTGAGCACGATTTGTCTGTTCTGGATTATCTTTCCGACTACATCTGCGTCTTGTACGGAAGACCCGCCGTCTATGGTGTTGTTACCCTCCCCTACTCTGTTCGAGAAGGTATCAACATTTTCCTTGATGGCCATATTCCCACCGAAAACCTCCGTTTCCGTGACGAGTCTTTGACCTTCCGTATTGCCGAGAGCGCTGATGAATTTGCTATTGACAAATCTCGTGCTTTCAAGTACCCTAAGATGGAGAAGACCCTCGGCAACTTTAGACTTCGCATCGATCCTGGTGACTTTACCGATTCTGAAATCATTGTCATGATGGGAGAGAACGGAACTGGGAAGACCACTTTCTGTCGCCTCCTGGCCGGAGCCCTGAAGCCCGATAGCAAGGCCGCCGTTCCTGACATGAGAATTAGCATGAAGCCCCAGACCATCACGCCCAAGTTTGAAGGTACAGTCCGCCAACTTTTCTTCAAGAAGATTAAGCAGGCCTTCCTTTCGCCCCAGTTCCAGACCGATGTTGTCAAGCCTCTGAAGCTCGACGACTTTATTGATCAGGAGGTCAAGAACCTGTCCGGCGGTGAATTGCAGCGTGTTGCCATTGTCCTGTCTCTCGGTATGCCTGCCGACATTTACCTTATTGACGAACCTTCCGCCTACCTCGACTCCGAACAGCGTATCATCGCCGCCCGTGTCATCAAGCGCTTCATCATGCACTCCAAGCGCACGGCATTTATCGTCGAGCACGATTTCATCATGGCCACGTACCTCGCTGACCGTGTCATTGTCTTCGATGGCAAGCCTGGTATTGATGCCCATGCCAACAAGCCTGAGTCTCTTCTCACAGGTTGCAACGCTTTCCTCAAGAACCTTGACGTCACCTTCCGACGAGACCCCGTGAACTACCGCCCTCGTATCAACAAGCAGGGCTCGCAGCTTGACCAGGAACAGAAGTTGGGTGGCAACTACGTAAGTGAACGCGGAAACACGCCGATAGCTGAGAGCTCATGCTAACTTACCTATGTTTAGTTCTTCTTGGAGGATACTCCTGACAAGAGCTCTTGAAAAGGGCAAGTATAGAGATAGTAATTCCCACCACCACCACCACCACCACCATCATCATGCATCTCACGGCGTTAAGGGCGTTCAAAATAAAACCACGCTTCAGAAGCGTGTGGGGGGCCACGCCCATGGTTCTGGCTTAGATATTGATGATCCGGGCGAGGATGACGAGCCAGACGAGCTGGGCTCGCCGTGGCAGCCTATCCCCTGCTGTCTGGTCCTGCGAGGGTTCCACCCCACTTGGGCTTGGATTAACAAGTGTTGCTCATTAGATGAGGCGAGCAAATAGCACTTGGGATTCTCGCAGATTGAGGGACAGTGGATCAAGAAGGATGACTGCCACACTCGCTCCCTGCGAAGTAGGGAGCGATTCGGAAGACGACATTTGTTTTGAAATATATATAGGTAGCTGCAGTTAAACGAACGGAAAGATTTAAGAGAATCTCGTGAAAATGTGCAATCTGGGGCAATGTGATTTTATGTATGAACAATTCTAGTATAGCACAATGGATGGTCCATTTTCAATAGGTCAAAAGACGATGCGGATTTGATTGGTTGATGTAATTATGACTAGGCCAGCTGAACATGGCTATAACTAGGTAGGTATGAGGATTACACGCCGGGGATGGGGAAGAGCACACATGCGGTGTTTTTTCTCTTTTCTTGGAGGAGACACACAGACATGATAAACAAAGAGACACATACCAACTAGCAGCCTCAAGGAGGAATCGAAATCTGCTTCTCAAGGACTGAACTCGGAAAAAGACGATGAGTGGCCATCCCTTGGCCACTTGAGTGATCGAGGAGAGGCAAAAAAGGAAGGAATAGGTCAAGGACCAATCTGTAGCCAAGACTGTATGTCATCTCTACCTAACAAGCCGTGGAGTGAATGCTTGCCAGAACGTACTGAGGTGGCGGACAAAAGGGCTGAGTAGCTTCTGGCTCTCTCAAGTTGTGGGGCAAACGGTTGCGTTCTGCGCCTATTCCTCAATTTCTCCTTCCTCACTGCCGGACCTTGCATCTCGTGCTGGTGGTGGGTTAGCAGGAGGAGTCTTGGTATGAACTGGGGCTTCACGTTGAGGGGTGCGCTCGCGCGATGGCTCCCGTTTCAATCTCTGTCACAAGTAGTTAGCAACCAAGTGGTTTATTTCTTCATGTTACCAAATGGATGTTTTCCTTACCTTGGAATCTCGCGAATCTCTACGAGCGTAATCATCTTCATTTTCTGTTCGACGGCGTCGAGAGCTTGATCCTGAGGGCCGCTCGTCACCATATGGGAGTTCCTCGATGGAGCTGCGGTCAACACGCCGACGGTAGAGTCGCTCTCGCTCCTCCTCTCTATCTCGTCGCTCGCGATCATAATGCGAGTCATCGTCACGGCGAGAGCGAGGGGTGCGATCGTAATCCCTGTCTCTGTCTCTCTCCCTCTCTCTGTCTCGGTCACGCTCCCGCTCGCGTTCACGGCGAGGTGGAGGTGATAAACGGCCACGGTCAGTGGATAATAGATTCTCCGCCATGGTGGATTTGCGGTGGTTTCGCTCACGCTCCGCAATTGCTTTGCGTCTGTCTGCCTCATAGGCATCCGCTTCGGGGCTGCGGCTTCGTCGAGGGCGGCCACTGCTGCGATGAGAGCGCTCACCTCTGGACCGATCTCTCTCTCGGCGATCCCTTTCCACAGACGCACGGTCACGGCGCCTGTCCCTTCGGTGGGCGTCCTCCTCCTTCTCCCGAAGGCGACGCATGTGTTTGTCAAATGCGGATCTTCTAGACTCCTCTGACGTAACAGCCTGGAACTCGTCTGCTTTGATTAGTCGGGGTCTAACCTTTTCATAAGAGTCGTTGAGAGTAATAGGTGGCTCCATTCGTTTCATAAACGTCCGTAGGTCATCAACTGCCCGGCGATCGTCACGCTTAGAGGTACGTTTCTCACGCAGCTTTAAAATATTGGTTAGCCGCATAAAAAAATTGATGAAGGAGGCTGGAAGTTGAGCCTTACCCGATCAAAAATGAGGCTCAAGACATCTCGACTGATATCGGCCGTGCGCCGATCACCCTTCATCATGGATATAAACTCTTCCAAATCGCTGTTAGGGTTGAGTTCAATTCGTTTGTCCTAAATTTGGCATCGTTAGCTTCACTCTTTCGATAGTAGTTGGGGTTCCTACCTCGAGAACATCAAGAACATGGTTACGCGGCTGTCGAAGCCCGCGTTCCTCCTCCTCTACGAGATCCCAGAAGAGCTCTTGTGGTGTTGAGCCGCCATGGCCCATCATATTTCGATACCTCGGTTCATTCTCAATCAAGGGGTGAATTTGTGCCCACTTCGTGCCTGCGTTGATCTTACCGTCGGCACGGAGCTGGTTCAACAGTGCTTTGAAAGCATCTCTAGCTTTCCGCTCATTGCGGAACTTCTGGGTTTTCTCCTCCTGCTTAGAGTCGTTGAACGCGCGCTCGAGGGCCTTCATATGGTTTTGAAAGGCGGATAACATGTCGAGCTGACTAAGAGTCTGGTACTTGGCATCATTTTGAAACGGTTGGGTTGTAGAAATGATTCCTTGTGCATCAGACCATCGAGTATAGGGCTCCAGGTTGAGTTTGGGAAGGAGATCGACCAGGCCGTCGATGGCACTCTTTCGCATAGAGGCCTGCTGTTCGGCATGGGTTCTCTTCAAGCCAATAATGTACTCTTCAAAAAGCTGGCGCCGCTCCGACTCGTCGTTGGTAGACCGGAAAATGGTTTCTCCCTCAATCATGGGGCGCGCAGTCTTCCAGCGCGTATAATGGGTAATCTCGGGGTGCCGCTTCAACATGGTCTCGAAATCAGTTCGAAGTTTAGCCAACCGCTCCTTGGCGCGCTCCTTGTCCTGGATGATAACATCTTGGCAAAACTTCTCAAAAGCATCCCTTCTATCTTTAGGGTCCTTGATTGCACGGAACTGGGGATCGCGGGCTGTGGCTCGAATGGTCTGCTCCCACGTCCAGTCTGGCTGAACACCACTTCGGCGAAGTAGCTTAGAGAAGGCAGCCTCGGCTTCCTCGATTGTCGCGTATTCGGGATCATTCGTTTCGGGCACAAATATCTGAGCCTTGGGATCATTTGGGGCAGGTAGTTGTCGTGGCTCGGCGTAAGAATCGCGATGGTCGCGCCCCTGGTCGAATGAGCCTCCATAGCCTCCACCGAATGACGATGGTGTCGCGGGTGTCACTGGTGTCTGCACTGGAGCGGGGGTTGGCGCTGAACCAAGAGCGGTTTTATACACATCGGGCATCTCCCAGGAGCTTTCCTTAGTCTCCGTATTGTACCAATACTTTTGACCACCCTTGGCTGTGTATTCTTTCCAGGGTTGGTTGGCGAGAGCGCGCTGTAATCAATTGTAGTTAGCAACTTGAACGTGCTCGTGGGGGGAATTCAGATTGGACAAAAGAAAGAGACGAACCTCTGCCGGCGACATCATTTCCTCGGGCTTGGTCCATTGCGTCGCTTTGGTCACATTGTTGTAGTAGTAGGCTCGACCATCATTGGTATGATGTTCCTGCCATACAGGCGCAGGCTGCGCGTGGCGGCCTGGAAAGCCGTTCATCGTGTTATCAATGGGCTCAAAGAAGGGGATGTGCGCGCGCCGAAGAAGGGGCCTTGTCTCGGGAATTGGTGAAGGCTGCCAGGTAGAAGGAGCCTTGATGTTGTTGATGCGACGACGGAAAGCTTGCTCTGAATAATCTTCATTTAGAAGTTTGACCCAAATCTCGTTGGAAGGAAGGGCGCACGGACCCTGCAATCAATCAGGTCAGTTCAGCCTACCCTGTAGAGTCCACTAATGCAATTAGCCGAATGTTAATCCAAGGTGTCCTAATATGCAATGTACCTCCGTACCTCCCATGCCGATCTACATTATAGGAGAAGCACAACATTGAGCTCAAAGTTGGAGACCAGCAAAAGGTGGCTGACTGGAGTGAGACGAAGGGCTATTCTCCATGAAATAGAGATCTCCGCTCGCCAATTAATCGAGTGTGATGCCAGCTATATTGAATTTGGAAACAGAGGGACGGGTAACGTGCGTATAAACACGGAACAGAGCCTCTCACAATGGCGGCCGACCTCGTGGCCATGCACGATCCCGCCGTGAGCTTTGCAGAGAAGTGTTACTTATCCTACTTGGTTCCGGCTGTTACCGACACCGACTTGGACGAGTTGTTCAAGGACGTCGAACCGGGGCAGCCTATAATCGAGTCCTTCAAGACCAGAGAAACTCTCTTCTTCGGTCTGTTCCTCCTGGCACTAACATGCTATCCTCAACTAACGAGTCATCAGATGAGACTGTGGGCCTTTTACTTGTTCTCAAGGCGCCCTGGCAAGAGGAAACAGTGCTACGCTCTCGCCTTGAGAGGCTGGCAATATCGATAGAGGCACACATCGTCAATGGCAGCGTGCCCGACGGTCCAAGTCCACCAGTAACGGAACTCATCTTCAAGGGATCGGTTCCAGATGTCGCCGATCCATTCATCATTGTAGATGAGGAGGAGGCTGGTGACTCCGAGGGCGAGACCCATCAGTGTATCTATGCCATCTGGAAACTCCCCGTCTTACTGCCGCGGCCGCGGATGCGATTGCAGTCGCCCACAATCATCTTCACAGCATCTGCAGGTCTCAAACCAGATGAATCTACCGACCTCGCACCCAACGGCCAGCGCTATCTTCCCAGCGGAGTTCCATCTGGGCTCAACCTTCTCGAGTCGTTCACCCATGACCCTTCTCTTCAGGACGTCAAGCCAAGACTGTCCGCTCTGCGAGTATCTCGTGTGGTTCCCCTGACGCAGCAAGAGGGTGTCGAGCAGCGCATCCGAACCCTTCCCCAACTCAAGTTTCAGATATTCCCTGCTATCAACAGTAGAATACGGTTCTCTCGACCCAATACCGAGCCTGTGAGCTCCGCTGTCATTGCCATACTCGAAGTCGACTTTACTTCTTACTTTGAAAGCGAGTTCCTTCTTAACAAAATCGAGCTGTCAGTCCCTGGTGGCGAGGTCCAGTGTCTCAATGACGATGCCCTGATGCAACCACCTTTGAGTTGTGTCGCCCACGATCACATCACCTTTCTTTATCATGTCATTCCTCGGCAATACGATCTCAATCACTCAAACCATACTCGGGAGCTCAAGATCTCCATCGTCGCCACAGCCCAACTCATACCCGACGTATGCACGCCACAACTAACAATGAACTGGTCCACGCCGATCGACTTCACTCTCCCAGTCAACCCCGGCTTCGGGGCAACACCAGGCCCCAGCCTCACCATCCAGCGATCCCACCGGCCCTCCCAGCTCTCCATCAGCAGCGGCCAGGTCGGCACCCCGTTAAAGTCACCCGTCATCCTCCGCCCAGACGCTCTTCCCACCCTAGAAGCAGCCACATCCCGCACAGAAACCGCGCTCCCCGAGCTAGGGATAACCATGTCCTTCAGCGCGCCGTCCGAGCCCGTGCGCCTGGGAGACATCTTCTGCTGGACCGTGTACGTCGTGAACCGCCCCAGCGAGCAGAAGAACCAGCACCCGCGGAAGCTCGCCCTCGTCTCCCTGCCCAAGCGCCAGCGGCAGGAGGTGCGGAGCGTGCGGCCCATCTCCTCCAGCAAGAAGAAGCACGCCGAGCGGGACATCGCCGACGCGGCCCTGGACGACAATGTCCTCCACGCCATGCAGAAGAATGCTGCCGTCGGTACCGCAGAGGTTGCCTGCCTGAGCGCCGACACGCGCGTTGGCCCGCTGGCCCCGGGAGCCTGCCATGTGGTTGAGCTCCAATTTCTGGCCCTGAAAGAAGGCATAATCGGCATCGAGGCCATTCGGGTTGTAGACATGAGTACTCAGGAGCACGTGGATGTGCGAGACTTGCCAACCATGGTTGTAGAGCCTGCAGCCGCCTAAAGAAATGTATACATTCCTGAGTTGATGGCTTGAAAAGTAGGCATTTGATCATATATCACAGCCAATATCTGATAACTGGGGAAAATGTGTAAATATATATTTATATTGATGAAGAGTGTGTGTAAATACTGCTGCTTGATCGCTTGTTGTAGCAGCAATTATAATAACGAACGGAACGCCGTCAGACAATGCCAGTCTACCATGCAACGCTCTCTTGCTAATGCGCCCCTAACTAAAATGCAATTACTTTACCTTTCTAAATGCCAAACAAAAACGCCATTTTATCAAACCAAGACATGATGCACGTTACTTATTAGAAGTCATCCAAGTCATCATCCCAGCCAAGCCTATCATATATAGACTTGTCCGTCCGTTGTTCTGCCGCTGGTTCCAATTCTTTGTACTGTTGAGCTGGCTTCTGGGCAGCCTGTCTCTTAATAGGAGTTGCAAACAGCACATCCTCATAAGAGGTATCGAAGCTCAGCTTTCTCATCGGCTCATTTCTAGTGTGACGCACATCTGGCGACGCTCCCAAGGCCGCATCCCTGTCAAAGAGAGGCGACGAAGGCGGGATTTCTGGTTGCTCATTGCTGTTCCTCTGCCTGGAGTACCCCTTGGTTGGGGTACAGCTAATGTCAACAGATAGCAGGCCCCGATTACCTGTCGTGTTTCGTAGCACGGTGCGCTCCCCCGTAGACGAGCCTACACCTCCAACACTCGAAGGTGGAATAATCTCCGTGGATGGAATTGGTATGTTAGCAGCAGACGTGTCTGGCTTTTTCGTACCAAGTACATCCCTAAAGCGATTGTTCGCCGGTGTTGCTTTGACCAGTGCACTCGAAGATGAGGGCCAAAGTGTCCTCCGAGATTCTGGAGAAGTTAGCATAAGAACCGATATTGGGTATTTCCCGGTGGGTTTATGTGCTACTCACTCTTAGCTGAAGTCAAAGCCGATATTTTCCGCTCGGCTTCTTCCTGCATGGCCTTACCAACAACGTTCCGATCCGGCTTTCTGATACTGGAAATGGCGTCCTTTAACGCTGCCTCGACTCTCGCCTTCTTGTTCGCTTTGGCGTCCTGCAGATCGACCATACTTGTACTGCGCACCAAAGAGCTTGTCCTAGGTCGAGATTGGCTCGCGAGCCCGGAGTTCCCAAGGTCGCTCTCCTCCTTTTTCAGTGTTGGGATGGCAGCTGATGTCGCCGATCGCATGAGCGCGAGCGCATTATTGGGCCCGCGAGACATACTGCGGCGTTGCTGATCATAAGATAGAGCGCGCTCCAAAGTTCTAGGCTCCTTGTGACGAGCTGTTCGCTTTGCTACGGCCCCGGGTTTCAGTTCCTGCTTACTCGAGTGCCTCTTGAGCGATCTAGGCTTCGATTGCGACATTGTCAGTGGGCCACCAAGCTTTCTATTCAGAGAATCGCAAAGTTGAGGGAGACGCGCCATGTAGCTAATATCATGTCAGAACCGTGAGCAGCAATGTGTGGGGTTTGGAATAAACCTACAATGGCATAATAACATCGACGCAAAAGTCCCGCAGTGGCTCCTGTGAGGATTTTGAAGTTGGCGTTTGACTCTGAGGCGTCGATTGCTGTGAATCTTCAAACAGAAGCTGTTCTTCGGAGGCGGTCGATTGCCAGATAGTCAGCCTATCAGCGTGAACATCAATAAGCACCGATAGGTTGTGCTTGTTTCGTTTTTTGGGAGGTGCCATGGGCGGTGTCGAAGATCCAACGGGGTTCCCAATGGCTCCAGGCAACATTGGCAAGCTATTGCTTTCAGTTGTCTGAGTGGTTTCCTTGACAGATTCCAATGCCAGAATTTCCATGATCAGTATCATTTGAAGCTGAGTCTCCCTGGTACGTAACAGTGACGCGTGAAACTTGATCTGGGACATGGTGTCGCCTGACTTATCATCCTCCAACTCAGGTTTACTCATTGACCACCAAGCACGGATACTCTCATCTTCCAGAGGATACAACCCCTCTTTGCTGAGTTTCATCTTCTTGGGTCGGCGTCGCCGCTTCTGACCGTCATCGGAACTTTCTATCACCGTATTCATTTTCGACATAATGTCAGGTATCGTTTCCCGGAATTTCTTATCGATCTGGACGGTTGTGAGAACCATACTCTTCAGGAAGGCAATCAGCTCTTCCATGTCGAGATTTGATTCAAGATCCATGAGGAATGCCGAACGCGCTCGCGAGAGAGACCCTTTAGCAAAATAGGCGAGCGAGCCCTAAAACCCGAATGTCAGAAACAAAATGCTCCGGAGGGTAGCTTAATGACTAGACAGAGCCCAATTACCTTTGATTTATACAGGGTTTCAGAATACTGAGAACGGATGTTCTCAAAAAATCCCTCCGGAGTGATCTGCTCCTGGTGGTCACCGGAAGCAACACCCACAGCTTCCTTGGAAGGATCATCCCTAGGTACATCTTCTACCTTCTCTAGAGGTTTCGCATCGTTCATAGATCCATACATGGAGGCTGTCAAAGCCGGGTCAGGTTTGACCACAACTCCTTCTGAAATTGACAGAGACTGTGAGTGAGACCGTTTCCTGACAAGTGATTGAATGGCCTCAATTGCTTTGTTCTTCTGCTTCTCGTCCTTATGCGTTTGTGGTGTTGTTAACGGCAACGGTGCGCTCGGTTCAATCGGTTCTGCCTTCGGTACCCGTATTCGTTCCGTAGCAATCGCGGTGGCATGTTCCGCAAGTTGGTCGATACTAACCCAGGATCCCAGCTTGCAGACGGAATAGAGGCCATTTTGTTGCCTTTCAACTGCATACACTGCCCCCCTGGGCTCGCTCCTGGCGAGTAGCAAGCTTGGCCTGGTTCCCATCCGACTTTCCAGGTCCAGGATCTTGATCCGCGATTCAAAAAAGCGGCTCTGTGGTAAGTCGCCATAGGGTGCGAGAAAATCGAAAGAGCCGAGAGGTACGTATTGGCGCGGAAGAAGCATTAAGGGGTGCAGAGTACGTGGTGGGACGTGAAGGTTCGGAGGGTAGGGCTTGATACGTGTTAGTTATAACCTTGATAGAGCTCTCAAAGTAACTTTGTAAACAAACCTTGAGGTCAATCGGCGGTCTTAAGAGGTGATCTGTCGCCAGTGATCTCTCCCGCTTTCGTTTCCGGCTGTCTGGCGTCGCAGAGGATTGGCCATTGTGTTGGAGGCTTCCCTCGGAGCTAGGCGTCATGATGCCAGAACGCAGACGCGAGGACGCGTCTGCATCAGACATGGGCAACGGCTGCATCTCAGAGAAAGAGAATTCATAAGTCGAAAAACATTTCTCTCTGGTCACACCATTCGGAATAAAGGTAATAAAAAACAATCTTTGGCTTGTATGTATAATATACAGTAATATGTTGGTTGGACGTTGGCCTGGTGGGTTGAGGGAAGGTTCCGTAGGGAGTATTAGAGTGGTAGGCAAATGACCTGCCAGGGCGCGTGTGTGTAGTTGCCGTCCCAAGTACCTCAAGGCGCCACTAAAAAACGCGTGCGGGAAATGCAGTGACGTCGACGGGACCCGACGCGCTCTCGACTTTACCTACCCTGCGGAGAGGGGTATCTCAGCTTAGAATTAGTACAAGTGTCCGCCATTCGATTCATTCTTCACCTCGTGTTGCAACGCGCTTGCTGAAAACTTACCGTATATATGCTCGTTAGCTTTCGGTTCTATTTGCATGTACATTCGAGTGTTGTTATTGCAACCAAATAATCAGCAACAATCTCTTCAACGGTCTCTGAACGTCAGACTTAGGTTGCTAACCAATTCAGGATGTCCCGCAGCAAGAAGCATCGAGCGGAGCTTCCTAGTGGGGGTTTGACAACCTCGAATTTCCTCACATCCTTCGTATTTCAATCCTCAATTCATTGATGAACAAATACTCCCTCACTGTTAACACCGATTTACACCACTAACGAGAAGACTCATCAAATTGAAAGAAGGAAAGGAATACCCCCCGTAGCGTCGAAGCATAATTGCGAAAAATGGCGTCTGAGCCGGACTACAGCTTACCCCCTCAGCGGGTCGCCTTTGATGGCTTCCTTTTTGATATGGACGGAACGATCATCGACTCAACCTCAGCAGTGGAAAAGCACTGGCATACGTCCGTTTGGCAATTGGAATTGCATTAATACGAAGTCTATTCGCTAACACATGTAGCAGGATTGGCAAAGAGATCAATGTTGATCCCAAGGTCATTCTGGAAACCTCTCATGGGCGTCGCAGTATAGATATATTGAGGCTCCTGGCACCCGAGAAAGCATCAATGGAATGTAAGTGAAGAAAATCGACGCTGGAACACAGCATCACGAGAGAACAGGACAGTTCTCAATTTCGTTGTCACGTTGTCACTTAATTAACCACACTCCTTGTCTAGATGTTAGAGATCTGGAAGGACGTCTCCCAAGGGAATACGCAGACGAAGCAGTTGAAATTCCAGGAGCACGTTCTCTTCTCGAGTCCGTCGTCTCCAGTGCCATACCCTGGACAATCGTCACCTCTGGCACCGTACCCTTAGTTACAGGGTGGCTCAAGGTCCTCTCCATGGCCATACCAGACCATCTGGTCACGGCTGAGTCTGTGGAAAATGGCAAGCCAGATCCCACGTGCTATCTTCTCGGCCGTGAGCGAATAGGCTTAGAGGCCGATGGCAAGCAGGTACTGGTTTTGGAGGACAGTCCGGCAGGCATCAGGGCGGGCAAGGCTGCCGGGTGCAAAGTCGTGGGGCTCGTGACAAGTCACACCTTGGAACAGGTCGTCAGCGCTGGACCGGATTGGGTAGTGAAGGATCTCGAATCTCTGAAAGTTGTGGGCAAGGAGGGCGAGAAACTAGTCGTGGAGATCTCCAACGCACTGCGCTAATTACTTGACATTTTCGAACATGTCCAGGGGGACTGAGAAGGGAATTGTGGATGACGAGGGGGAATAGATACATAGACATGAGCACAAAATCCTTTTCTTTCTTTCCAGACGAGGTACCAGCGGATAGTGGCATCGGGGAATGCTTTGCCCTGAAAATCATCAGATATTGGTCTCAGTTGAGTTGCGCTGAATGTCTTGATTTGAAGGTCGCTGTGTCGATCACCAAGCTAATCTCAGCTGCCAAGAAACATATGACGATCATTGCCTGGTTCCCTCGAATGGTACCTGCAGCCCGGGGAGACTTCAGACTAAGTATATTACCTGTCCCTTCCCTAATTTTGGGGATTCGTACCAGATGTTTCTCTTCCCCTCTTCCCTTCCAGGTTTTCGGTGTCGCAAGACTCTCGCCACAAAGAAAAGGGTTTGTCTTCAACCTCGAAATTCGTTATCACCGATCTGCCCGAGACAACTATACCACCTACCCTGTAGACTAATGAATACGCCAATCTCTGCAACAGCCGATTCACCTTGTGTGGTACGACAGGGAGAACCCTTTGGGGAGACCGGAATAAGGCGTCGTTGTACTTGGCTGTCATGGGATGATCGCCCTGCCGATCTGATAAGACTTGGCCAGCACAACACCATTCCAAGGTGGTAAACTTGTGGCAGGGTGTTGGTAGCATACTGATGTCATACTCGAATAAGCGAGACGAACTGTTACCTGGGCACTGGTGACCTGAACTGTCAGCTGGAGCTGTAGCACAAAGTGTTGCAATCATTTGCCGATACGGTGCGAAGCATGATGGTACCGTCTTGTCGTCTCTCAAACTACCACCCGACGTCACAAGAGTCACACCTGACATAGCAGGCAACATTGACGACCCTAGATTGCGATGAAATTCTGACATTATGGCCACTCTTCATCTTGCTGTCACAATGGCATCTTGAGGCTTGAGGCTAGCAGAACAGGATTTTAATTTCTCTCTCCGAACGGCTTCTCGATCGAAAAAGTCAATTACACCGAGCTGAAGCAGATTTCAGGTCTGGCCGCATTGCGATCGTCGGTATACATCGAATAGGGGCTGTCTCAACATCGGACGAGCTATTCTCGATCTGTCAACCGGGAATCCCAGGGCCGAGGGATCAACTGCCAGGGATTCGGCGCCCGCAAACGTGGTGCGTGGGACCAGATCTGTACCACGCGAAATCGGCTTGAAAAACCTCTCAACACTCGGCGACTTTTGGAATAGGACCGGACAACAGAACCATCCCTCGTAGCTCACCCGGAAGAGTGATATTCCACGACACGCAAGACCGAGGTAGATGACGCAAAATTAGGGGACGAGTACAACCGGGCTATGTGGAAAATCGAACGATTTACCGGCATCAACAAGGCGGCACCAGCAGAGCGGCACCGAGAAAGCTTGTCTTGGAACGGGAGCCACCCCGAGGAACTCGCCTATAGTAGGCCCCAGGAATAATTCTCAACGGACGTTGCCAACCAGAAGAGGAAAATGAGAGAACACGCGGCCCCTGATGGAAAGGCCAGGAACAGATTCTTTCACGAAGCTAGCCAGCCTCTGTCCGTGATTGGGTAGGTTTTTCAAACAACGGGCGGTTAGGGCAATGCATGGCTTGACTCACGGAAGCGTAGCGCTTCATTCTGACAGCATGGCATGGGCTTTAACTCCTCGTGTCATCCAGGGGAAAAAAGCCAAGCAAAACGCCATGATAGGGCCAAGGGGCCGGGCTAAGTGGGAGGAAAAAGGGGTGCAGGTGTTGTCATCTCCCTAGGCGTGAACTAGGCACCGTTGTGAATGCCCCAATATCGGATTTGCGATCATTCTTGGTAAGGGGATATGCCGGTCGGCAGCTGAGCATGCAACCGGGTGGGAACAGCCCAGCGCCACGAAGTATTTCGGGCTAAAGCCTGGCAGACTGGGCCGCTGAAAATGCTTGTATGGAGATGATTGCTGTTGTCGTAGGGTCTGGACAACAGTCAACGGAGATGATCCATACCGTACCCACAAGGCGGAAACATGTGGCTTTGTCCCTATAATTGGGATGGAGAGGGAATCAATGCGTAATGCAGGTACCCAAGCAAAGGAGAAAAACAACAATGACATCCCGCCGGAACCCATAGCATTGATATGTCGTTCACGCCTATTCTGAGGCGCCTAACCCGAATCTAGTGAATTGTAGCGAAACATGCCAATGAATAATGAAGCACGATCCCCTCTGCCGAGCCGCCTATGAATTGGCCCTGTCCCTGACTCTTCTACTGGTAGAGCTTGATATCTGACCGTCACTTCCTGCAGGGAACTTGACGAGTCAGGCAATCTTGGTAATTTGATGCATCTCCAAGTGCCATGCACCGGTGACAATGCGTTGAAAGCCACGGAACGCGTCGGAATACACCTCTAATGCTGCATTTCCGCCACAATCGTCTGCCGCTGTGATCAGATCGCTATCTGTACTCCCTCCACGCTCTCGGAGGTGCGTTCCGGCATGTGGTTGGTGGACACAGAAATAACCAGAGCTTGGGATGCATAGAGCTTGGCCTACGTGAGGTTAGCCTTACAGCGTAGCCTCGGGCAGGGTTCGAGCCCTTCCCTGTCCATCTACCTAAACAGAGTTAGATATGCCCCAAGCTCGAGATACTGCGATCGGCTGGTCAAGGCCACCCCTACGGAGTGTAAATCGTCGATGGATGTGAAACTTGGGCGATGTATCCATGTGGATACTGCTGTGCTGGAAGGCATACTGTCGTTTCAAAATTGTCCTAAAGGCAGATGGCTAGGAAGTTCTCCATATTGTGATAGTTTTTTCTCCCTCGCTCCCCATCCCCGTGGAGGCTGAGTTGGACCGAAGACTGGGCTGAAAAGGGAGTGGACCGCATACAACAACAAGCAATGGCATCCTGGCCAGATGAACCCACCGGTGGATACGTTTTGCACGTGGCCATCGGGCCCGAGATGCCGCTAGGAGCCCGCCTCGCCCTGTGGCCTGTGTACTTACCACTTATCAGCAAAATATTCCTAGGCTAAGGCATGGAAGTACCCGAAGGTACCAGGTCGTTTTCCCCTAACGGAATCCAGGCATCATGGCGAGCGCCGGCGCCTATCCACAGCAGGCGCTGGCCCCTTTGCTCCCCCTAGCCCATACTGCAGTCGAGTTCAGCGAGGCCCTCATACCCAGCGGTACTCTGCCCATCTAGCGCGTGCACGGCTGCTGCGGGCAGAACTCTCCGAAACCTTCTCTGTGATACCAGTTCCTGCTCGCACAGCTGCCCGCTACGCTGGTACCCTAGCAGGCGCTAACCGGGCGCCTTAGCCACATCAGTACCTCGACGCAGCAGGCTACGTGCCTCTGTGGGCGAACAAGCGAAAGGTGTTGGGCTAACAGCAAGACGTTATATTGTGCAATTTCTCATCGCCACTGATACGCAACTGGCCATCATCATCGATTGCTGGGAAGTGGGAGGCTACCCAAATGATTTTCCTCTAGGCCCGGGGTCGCCGTGTGCGCGCTTGGTGAGCTGACGACACAGAGTAACATGCCGTGCAACCAGCCGTAAAGCGGGAGCCGGTCAGCAGCCTCTCAGGAGAGACACGAAAAAAGGAGGCGGGTATGCGGGCTCGTTTAGGCCTTCCTCCTGCAACACTCGAGGGACTAAGCCTTACGACTCTGAAAGGTCCAAACGTCGTGAAACCACGGCGGTAAGACATTCCTGTGGCTTGGGCTGAACCTTTGTGTCCCTATCACAGTGATGCTGCTCTGGCACTAGCTGGTGGAGGCGGACGGAACGGTGACGACCTCCCACTCGCAGTTAATTTTAGTGGTGGGCTGGAAGGCTTTGGCGCGGGGGGTATGTTTTTTCGTCCCTTGGTTCATGGAAAGATCCGTCCCGATCCACATGGGAGACGGGCACCTCGTAAATCGGCCAGTGAAAATTCTCGCTCACCGTTTGTGGGGTGCGCCTCCGGTCCAGGTGGTGGGATTCTAATAAGCTTTGACCACCGCGTATTCAGTTTGGGAAAGGCGTCACTGTGGGACATCGGAGCAGCACCCAAAAACTGATCAAGCTTCCGGGCTGCATCTCAGCCTCTCGCGTTTGCTCCGCGCTGCGTTGCAAAGAGTTGAGGCATCGCCGGCTTTGGGAGAGACCGGATGAAACCAAACTATCAATTGTCCCCCATTTTGCCTCCGGAAAGGCACCGCTGGATGAAGGGAGATATTCCCTTACACGGAAAGCGGGATGAGCCCTGTGGGTGTGTAGCGATGAAACTATTAGGACGGGCCCAGCCGAGCATTGAGTATGCACCAGTAATTCCGCCAAGAGCTTCGCTGGCGTCGCCTTTGTTTGACTGCCTTGAATGATAACGGCCTGTTTTTCTGTTGGCCTCCGTAAAATTAAATGCTCACAGATAACGTTCAACTCCAGTCCCCGCAGGAAGATGTGAATCAAACCTTGGCATCTGGAGTAGGTTGGGTAAATCACTCTCATCGAGCAGAGAGTACTACCTAACCCCAGAACTGCAGGTGGTACCAATTTGGAAAAGGGATAGAACGACGACGGAGTTTCGAAGAGGACGACTAATACCCGCAAACAAAGCTACTGCAAGTAAGGAACTCCTGACTGCGTAAAGGTCGATAGATATTACGCAGGCAGGCTCAGCCGCCATGCGGCTGTGGGTGATTCCTACGGCGGTCAACAACGTGGCAGTCTGACTGCAGGCATGCGCTTCTAGAATGCAGACACGGGGATCGGACTCTGATTGATCATAATAAAAAGGAACGATTGGACCAATTCATCACAATTTTAGTACAGTCGGCCGCTGGGCTGATTTTTTTGCTTTGGTATGTATGTTCGAGGCCATTCACAAATACACGCGATGTAATGTAAGGCGCGGACAATACAAACACACCCCAAAAAAAAGCAGCCAGTTGTGTCAGTTTGCCGAACTCCGGACCAGCGTGGACCAGTGAGGTTTGTTCGTGCTTTTAGGTGCTATGCAGGGGTGCACGGGCACGGGTAGACGGGAGAGCAGCGTACTGAGGTACGTACTCGTACTGGCATGACCAAAACCAGTTGGCGGGTTCCCAAGAGTCTGGTACCTTAGGGTCTTT